TCTTCCAACTTCGTGTTTCAGAATGTTTTCTTTTGTAACCTTTTTGCATTATAATCAAACGCATCGTGTCATGACTATGTATCATTTGACTTAACATATACAGTCAGGGTGACCGCGCATTACTCGGGTTTCATGTTCAGTCGAAAATATTTGATAATTTTAATTTAACTGATACGAATATAATTTTTATCTCTGTCTTTGATAAGAATCATTAACATTTAAAAATTTCTCTGAAAAAATTGTTGCTGATGTTATTGCCATAAGTTTCCATCGGGCTATTCTCCATATATTATAAGAATTTATTTTAAGTTATAAGGTCGGGTTAAATCACTTGACGAAGTGAAATCACAAAGATGTTACGATTTGCATTGGACATCAGCTGGAAGAAACATCCAACAAAGAAACGCATGTGTTGGACACCTTTCTCCTATCTCAGTTTCGCTAAGAGAAGGCTCCGGCTAGCTGGTCATTCCTGGAGAAGTAAGTCAGAACTTGTGAGCGACACCCTCCTATGGAACCCATTGCGTGGCAAAAGATCGTCTGGAAGGCCTCATCACACCTACATTGACCAACCTGTAGATGACCCTGGATGCGATCTGGAGGACCTGCCGACAGCGATGTCTGACAGAGATGGTTGGAAGGAACGAGTTAGGACAATCCGAGAATTCTCGACCTGATGATGATGATGATAAGGTTGGGTTATTTGTTGTATTGAGGGATATGATTGTAGTCTTTCCTGATCTAGTTCTTTTTGTAATCGGAGAATCCATGTAGTGATTCTTCCAAATCGTTACATCGATCAATCACTGTCATTCCGTAGCATGTGACTAGTGGTTGGATCTATATTTGTAAATATTCTATATTTTTTTTTGCTTGCTCATCACTTTCAGCGTCTCTATTCATTCTGCTGCTTCCTGCTGTAAGGATTTCTCCTCTACGGTAAAATTGTTTAATAGTTAAACTATTACACTATAAAGAACTACAAGGCGCAAGCTGCAGCTTGTAAGACGTTGCAACACCTTGAAGACTAAGAAAAGGCAAGGTTCCAATTTTTCCTTCTTTATAGCACTGGTGATATGTCTTGTAAGTCTTGTTTATTTTTTGTTTTGTGTTATCAGTGGTGATTTGAACGTCGCCACATCTTCAGATAAGTAAACAACAACAAAAAAGGTTAAACATCTGAAGAAGCCTATAGAATGGATAGGCTGGAACTTTGGTCAAATAAAACCTGGAACAAACCGAACCTAGGCAAAAGCATTGTAGGTCACCGTTGACATGAGGCTGACTCTAGTGGTTTTCAACCTTTTTAAGCAATGGCACACCTTGGAGCAAACGGAAATATCACGGCACATTTAGCAAATTTTTTAAAGGGTATACATTTAAATGTTATGAAATAAAACCATAGATTTTTTTTTAAAACACATACACACAAATATGAACTTACTTTATAAATATAAATATTCACAAAAAAAAATCGTTTCAAAACCTTGTCACTAGATCGGTGAAAATGCTGCAAAAACAACTTGTCCATACAGTATCATTATATATATATATATATATATATATATATATATATATATATATAATATAAAATTTGATAATTGATGTTTCTATTCAAATATCTGTGCAGATTATTTAAGTGTCAAATCTGTGCCTGGTGTTTCTTCGTGATTTCTTCAATGTTTGGTTGAAAATTGCGATAAGCAAACTTTCATTTCTTCTTCAGTTAAGCGTAGTCTTTCTTGCTTCTTGTTTTTGATGTAAATAAGTAAAAAATTGCCATAAAGTCTTTTTTTTTTAGCTAATGAGGGATATTCCTTTTGTACTGAAATTCAAAATGTATCAAGAATAGTGAAAAGAATTATTTGTAAAAAAATGTTTAATACTTATTCATTTATTCAGATACTAACGCTGTACCGTTACTACCAGAGCCGGGGAGAGAATTTCCGGGGTCTGGCACTCAGATTATTTTGAGGCTCACCGGTCGGAAAAGGAGATGCTGGGACAAACAAACTTGTTGATCTAGCATGTCTTACAAGACTGTCTGTAAGCTTGTCTTTCTGGTACGGTTGTGATATGTTAAATATTATTTTTCTGTTAAGGTTTTTATATGTATTTTTTGTGACAAATATTTATGCATGTGAGGGAACATTGTTATTATAAATGAAAATAAAATATAGAATAATAATAATAATGAAAATTAAAAATAAAATAAAATTTGAACCTCATTTAAAATAAAATAAAATAAATAAATAAAATAAAAATAATAAAATTACTCCCAGCATGCAACAGGGACTGTTCCTGTCGGAAATACGAACATCCCGCCAAGAGACGTGAGATTCAATCTCTTCGCCCGAAGACTGTCATGATGACAACACCTATATAACTTCCCTCCGTGATAGGAGTTGTGATACTACGGAGTGACTTATTCCTTTCTATAACATGAACCTTGTCACAATTGTAATGTAAAATACACACACTAATACACGCAAATACATGAAATTGTATGAAATTGCTATACAATTTACCATATTTTTTTTTATTGTTCTTGTTACAAAATAGAATAAGACATATCTCGGCTGATTTGCAGGCTAATAAACTAACATACACAAGAGCGAGAACCGGATGTGAACGGGACAAGGCCCCATCACAAAATGACCTTTATCGTCGTTTGCGCATAGGCCCGACGCACGAGTTCCGGTCGAAAAATAAAATAATATTTTAAAGTGTTTCTATTTTTCGACCAATAAAAATGCTTCCTTGCTAATTATACTCGCGTCGTTTTTTGAGCCTGTTAAGCCATAAAAACGCCATAAAAGGGGTCACACAGGGAAGTACTGGTAGTCAACAGGAAGCCAGGGAAGAGATCTGTCACGGTCAGTCTGGGCAGTCAGCAGCAGTCAGCAGGAGGAGCGCCACGCCAAACAGTGAGAACTACTATGAGAGATCAACCTAGATCGGCGGTCGGCTTATGAACTATACCACAAGATAGCTGTCCCAAAACCACACGTTCCTATTGAAATAAATCATGTAAATCTATTTCTGCTGTTGTCGTATTTCTTTCTTGCAACCATACGCTTGTCTATAATATTATTATGTACGTTTGTTTGTTCTGTTTTTCATCGTGAACACAAGCCCAAACTTATGACTGCGTGGTGTGAGTGAATGGTATATTCACTCACATGTCATTCTAATAATACGACATTTAACTATCACAAAACTTCGTAAAGCCTGCAACTGGGAGACGAAGTTGTGCAATTAAAGAAGATATTTCATGACACAATTTCGAACTGTATTTGAATGGATCCTATCGAGAATATTCCAAAGCCAATTGAGCTGTTGAACAGGTTCAATGCGTTAAGTAAGTTTGTCGGGAATTTTCCCTAATATTTTCGTTTCTCTCCGAATCTTTCTGCCACAGTTGAATCTACAGAGCGCTCTATTAAACATTTTAAACAAATAAAGAACTATCAACACGCAACAATACTTCATGACCCAACTTGGCAACCCTTGCGATCGGGTGTAATCTGGCACGAGAATTAGACTTATTTATTTACTAAATTATTTATTTACTAAACTTCGCTTTGCGTACTAAAAAACTACAGTACTTACTTAATCTCAGTGATCGGCGGAAAATCGGCGCTTTATTACATAGTAGAGTTGCTAGACCCACGCCCAACCAATTTTGAATTTAAACTTGTACTTCTCCTAGACTAGTTGTCAACCAAAGCTAGATAGCCCAGTCTTTCTTGTTATTAACCTCTAGCTGGAGTAAGAAAAGAGATTCATACTTTTCCAAGAGTATTTATGCAAAGGCGAATTCCAAAGGTTTCTGTCATTTGGTAAAATTCTTTGTTTGTGATTCTGCGGCACCAGAGCCGACAACTGATCTACCCATCATTACCGGAGAGCTTGAAATAGTCTTGTAAAATATTGTAAAAGGACTGGAAGAATTGAAACCATACAGAAGATAGTAGAACTAAAATATTGAGCTTGGTGCTGGGGTGTTAAATAGGGTTACTCCAACTTAATGCAATTATTATTATTATTATTATTATTATTATTATTATTATTATTAATAATAATAATAATATTCTTTGATGAAAGTCTTTTTTTTTTTTTTAAATATAAACAAAAATCTGCATTTTGATTTTTCAACTGTTAACTAATTAATGCTCACCCTAAAATCAGGCATTTTTTAAAAGCATTTCACCCCAAGCAAGGCGGGATTGACCAGTCGAAGTGATCAGGTAGATAACATCACAAAAAAAGACGAACACCTGCTCATAAGTGTGTGGCAAAACGATCTTGTACGTTTGGATAAAAATGAACGAACAGAAACAGCATTTGTACTGAGGCGTCTCAGTTATCATATTTGCTTTTAGAGCCGTTTTTTCTCATTTAATTTTCAAATTTTTCATTTTTTTTTTATTCATTTCACCTCAAGTAAGACAATAAAGCTACTAAGACGCAGGGGTACTAAGTGTGGAAGAATATAAGAAAAAACATCATTTAGGAGAAATACAATAAAAGAACAACAATTAAGAAGATAGAAGATAACGGTTGACATTGCATTTAAATTTTTGAAAATCAAACTTGACTGAAAAATCGAGAACTGTGATCAAGGAAACGGTTAGTATAGAACGTACAGTTACATCTAGGCATTCAATTGTAAAATGATGAGACCTTGCCACCCATCTGCGCTTAAATTCATATTGGCTAGGTACCATAGAGGAGAATTCATTAGAACAATTACCACGAAAGTATATATATAGAAAATACACTGTGAAACTACATTACAGCGTCAGAAAGTGACTGAAGCCGAGATGCTAAGTCAGGACCAATGATATTGCAGATTCTTCTTTGGAAATTTATTTTCTTCTTTCGTTTTTTTTTTTATTCAAAAATAATTCTTTATTCTTTTTATTTTATTCAACCGCCTTTATTACAATTTTTCGTTTTTCATTCAACTTATTTTCTCATCTTTTTCTATCATTCAGTAATTTCTCCTTTGTTCTTTGTTTCGTTCATCTTTCTCACTCATTTCTATTTTCCACTTTCTTTCGCTTCTTCATTTCCTTAACTCACTTATTCACGTCTGTTTTCTCAAACACTGCTTCCTCTTTCTCTTCTTCCTCCTCTCTTTTTATACATCATCTCTTACGCGTGTATCGCGTTTTTTTTTTGGGGGGGGCCGGCATCGTTTTATTTCCAGCTTTGATTTCACATTCTTACTTTGATGAGACCTGCTCAGTTGATTTCTTAAATTTTCTCTTCATTTCTTTTTTTTTTTATTTTTTTAAGCAATCACACATTCTCCCGCTTTCATTGAGATACTCCTGTCTGCTTTCTACCCATGACTGTCTTTTTCTCTTCTTTCCATAACTTCATTTTTTATTTTATTTTTCTCTTATTCACACTCTCTCTCTTTCAGCCTGTTATTCTCTTTAAAAGTTTAAAAACCACCCAGATTCCTCTTGATATAATTCTGTCCCTTCTTCGTCTTTTTTCGTGAAAATCATATGGAATATGGACACACAGGCAGCAATCATCGCTATCACCCCTTCACCCGAATCGCTATGCATGCATAGAGCAAAAGATAGAAATGACATTATTGTAGAGATTGAGAGATTAGAGAGAGAGAGAGATGATATATGGGAGGACTTGCCATTTGTTTGTGCCATGACATGTAACACGACTGAATGACCAGCGTGCCAATCATGTCGCACAGTTGGTGTCCAATCAGATGATGACAATTAGCCAGCTCTGCGATCAGATGGAAGAAAAATCACCTGCCTGGTCGCATTAATCACCTACAGGAGCATTGCCACCAATGGGCCTGCATGCTAGCGATGCTGTGTGAACAATGCTCGGATATGGTGTGAGATGATTGGTGGCGTGAGTGGCAAGGTTTACCATTGGGCAAGATGGGCTGCTTGGCTGGACAGCTGGTCTAACATTTCACGGGACTTGGAGTGTGTAAGCGGGGCTTGGGTCTGTGTGATGCTAGCTTTGTATTCAAGCTTGTGTGTATCTGAATGGATACTGGTATGCAAAGCAATAGATAGAGAGACCGATAGATGGGAAAAGAGGGAGGAAGGAATAAGTAAAAAGTAAATTTAAATTCTTTTGTAATACTATATTATACAAAGTAGATCAGCACGTGCGTGATATATATATATATATATATATATATATATATATATATATATATATATATATATGAGGATATAAAACATGTTAATTATGGTGTTACATCAGTCCTCCTATATGACAGTGGATGCTGGACAATCTCCTGGCGAATGAAGAAGAGATTTGAGGCAAAAGAAATATGGTTCTACAGAAGGATGCTAAGAATACCATGGTCTGAATATGTGAGCAACAACGAAGTCTTAAGGAAAACGGAAACCAAAAGAAGGCTTACACATAGAATCAGAAAGTGACAGTTGAAATTTCTAGAAAATATAACGAGGAAGGACGGCTTGGGGAATTTGGCACTCACAGGGCATATCAAAAGTAAGAGTAATATATGGGAAAAAGCAAATAACCTATCTAATGAGATTGTGGAAATGAATGACAAAGCAGCAACTAGGGGAGATGATGAAATGATAAAAATTACTAATTATTACAAAGTATAGGAAGTTGTGGAGAGCCATGATCATCCATACCCTGAAGGGGCATGACAAGTAGAAGAAGTATACATATCATTACAAGATTTTTTCCTCAATAGTAGTAGATAAGTTTGACTATCGCCCGGTTCACACTTCTCCTCGGCCTTTTGAACAGGTGTAATGGTTTATCTCTTGTTTCCTGTTTAGGAATGAGTTTCCAGTTCCTTCTAAAATTTAGAAATTGTAACAAAATTTATGTTGAGTTTAAATTATTTTTTAGTTGTAGTGGTGATAGAGTTGGTTGGTAGAACAATATATTTTGATTTGTTGAGGCCCACTCTTGCATTTTTTAATATTTTACAAGCCTTTTGTTTCACACTGAATATATCAAACTATCAAGTCATATTTATTATAATTATTCAAAAGGAATGTCCTGTTAAAAATTGAAGCCTGAATCAACATGAACACAAATAATCAACATGAACAAACATTATATATAATATTATATATACATATATCTATATATATATCTATATATATATATATATATATATATTTATATCTATTTTTATATATATATATCTATATATATCTATTTATATATATATCTATTTATATCTATATATCTATCTATTTATATATATCCATTTATATCTATCTATCTATCTATATTCATATATATATATATATATATATATATATTCTGTTTATACATTATTTTTATAGATACAGATATTCTAAGTAAATGCTCTGTTTACAATAAACAGTATTAACTACATTTACCAGTGAGAATGTACCAGAAATTTCATAGAAAATATGTGTCTTCCAACAGGAATCAAACCTGTATCCTACACGGAATCATCATTTGGCCTGACATGCTATACCGTTTAGCTGCAGAGGAAGTATTTGGTTGGCAAAGTCAAATTGCTGTTTTTAAACAACAAATTTTCCAAGAAAATACTCTTTCCATGAAACAGTAATTTGACTTTGCTACCCAGTGTCTATGGGTATAAAATCTCTGTTTCCATTTCCTCATAGAAATTCCAATGTAAAAATTATACATTTTTCATATTTTCTTTGGGGGAAATGATCGCTTGATATATAGCCCTGTTAGATTTGCATTTGCCCTCTACTGGACAATTTTCTTTAGATCTACAAATACAGGAGGGTTCAATAACAGGTTTGTTGTTTGTCCCATCAAAATTTCTTAAAATATGGTTATTGTGTGAGTTACATAATTTTATACATGTTGTTGGTACAGGAATAGCTAATCTTAATCATTTTCCTATTGAAGATCTTATATATATATATATATATATATAGCTAAGATTAGAATAAATGAAGTATAATTCCACTGTCCATAACATTTAATTTAAAAGAGAGCTCAGAGCTAAATATTATTATATTATTTTCTCCTATAATAAATGATATATATATATATATATATATATATATATATATATATATATATATATATATAATCTTTTTTTGTTTTCTTGCTTTCTCACAAGTTTCTTTATATTTGGGGCTAAGTTGTTGAAAAAACCCTAGTGCTTGGTTTTTTGCTGAGCACTTTTGGTCATCATCAACCATCGTCATGGCTATATGTTTTGGGTTGAAGTAGGTTGTTTTATATTTATAGATAATATTGTTGGGTATTCAGGCAGTGTTGTTGGATTAGTTCATTAACAATTGGGAAGGGGTTGTTATTTATTAATTTGAGGATTAGTTATTAAATGTGTTTAAGATGTTTCTGCCAGTATTAAATCCTGTTTTATTTATGTTCAGTTTTTGGTTTTAATTGTGATGGCTTCAAGAATTTGTAAACGTTTTTTGCAATTGTTTTTGTAGAGGATTTTGGTATTGTTGATTAGGATTTTTCTTATTTTGAATGATTTGAATGTGTTATTTGTGGTACAGTGTGTTGTTATAAGGTGATTTTTTTATGGTGCTGGTATCATTAAGATGGTATGTAAGATGATATGAGAAAGTTGTGGTTGTGTATCTGATGTATGTGCTAGAGTTATTATTAACAACTTGAACCCATTTATAAAGAAACTTGTGAGAAAACAAGAAAAAAAACTGAAAGATAGATTATTAAACAGAAAAGTTCCATAGTCTCTAATAAAACATGCCTCAATAATGAGATACTGCCTATATATATATATATATATATATATATATATATATATATATATGTGTGTGTGTGTGTGTGTGTGTGTGTGTGTGTGTGTGTGTGTTTGTGTGTGAAAGTGGACACTGAAGTCAACACTGAGTGGTGACAGTCTGTTTCATGCTTGAATACAATCTTTTATATTTACATATGCTCCATTTCTGATATTGAGCACTTTTAGCAATATAACATACCTTAAAACTATATATATATATATACACACACAAACTAAATGGCTTGCATGGATTATATTATATATATGTCCAGAAATGTAATTGCTTCAGCATTTTATACATTGCACTTTATTTTCTAACCCATTATTATATATATATATATATATATATATATATATATATATATATATATATATATATTTATATATGTGTGTGTATGTGTTAGAATGTGTGTAGATTGGTGTGCATGGATTATATATAAATGAATGTTTACATAAGCAAAAAACTACAGTATTTTTATTATATTACACACACACACACACACACACAAACATACTATATATATATATATATATATATATATATATATATATATATATATATATATATATATGTATATATGTATGTATGTATGTATGTATACATATGTAAAAAGAGAGAGCAAGTGTGTTAGTAAGTTAAGTCCCATTGTATGAATATAGATAAGCAGCTAATTGGAAAAGGTCAAAACTTTAAGCTATGGTCAAGCCTCCATGTGCATCTAATGGTCAATGTAGTCTAGTGATTTATTTCTGGTGTCCAGACTGAAAACCAGAAGACAGAATTCAGTTTCTAAAATGTCAGAGGTCAAAGCAGAGCCAAGAGATAGTTGATTGCTCGTTCATTTTGTGAATAAGACCAGGTGCAGTTTATCACACATTGGCTTTATTCCAAAAAAAAAAAAAAAAAAAAATTTAAAAAACACTGCATCTGGATTTGGATCTCAAATGCATTCCAATGCCTGTCAACTTTGGCAGTCTTCATTGACCTTTGACCTATTTGCAAAACTGAAATTTCTTCATTATGATTAAATGTAAGAACCAATCACATCCAGAGCATAAACAGGAAGAATAAAAAAAATTCTTTGACTCCCGCTATCCCATAATTGTCGTTACATTTACTGAAAAAATATCTATGCAACTTATATAAATATTAAGGGACAGAAATAATACTTATAATAACATTCAATATTTTTTAAGAGATAAAATATCTATCAAGTATCTTGGAATTTCGAACTGAACCCTTTATTTCGATCGCTGGGGTAGACTGTTCTAATTCCACGTGCCATGTTTGATGGATGTCAGTTATCAGTTATCTCCTGCTAATTTTCCCTCTGAAAGTTCTCCACTGCCTTAACCAGGAACTCACCTTCTTTGGGTCTGTCACTGGATCTAACCA